GTCTTTCCCGAACCGCCCCTCATACCTGGAGACGCTGAGCTCAACTGGTCACAATTGAGCTGTTAGAGGTGGTAGGCGGCAGAACGGGAGGGTTAGGAAGGTTCGAGAACTCAGCTCTGCCCCTGACCAGCTAGCTCTGCAAGAGGCTTTACCTCTCAACGAAAGGTTTTCTCGTCTGCAGGGTGACGACACCTTCACGAGGCTCGGCTGGCGGAGATTACGAGCAACACCTGGGGTTTCTAAGGCCTCGAGATGGCGTTTGGGGTTTTCAATGGCGGAAGGAAGAGGACGGGGATAAGAGGAAGGCAGGGCAGCGGCGCGGCCCGCAGGGCCCCGGGAGGTGCCGCGGCCTCGTCCGGGTCTCAAGCTCGGAAAGGTCCACAAGGACGCGGACAGAGTACCCAAACCTCCAAGTAGTGAGGGGGAGCTGAACGGCCCCAGCCCGGGCTTTGAGCCTCAGCGTGGCCAAAGCCTTGGTGTGGTCCGAACCCTGCTCCGCGACCCCAGCTGAGCTGAGGCGAGAGCGACTTACCATAGCTGCTGCGAGAGCGACTCCCGGTCTCGGACGTGGCAGCCTGAGGCGTCGCGTCCGGACGTCTCACTTCCGGCGCCGTGTCGGCAGGACTAATGGCCCGTCGCTCTGAAGCCTCCGGGTAGCAACACGCTCGGTTTGCGCGGAGGTCCGGCGTCTTCCACAGGCCGCGCCCCGCCCTTCTGTGGCTCCTCCTCTTTATCCTGGCGGAACGCGGGAGATCCTCGGGGCGGGGCTCTGGTTGCCTTGGCGACCCGGGCGGGGGGCGGTTGGACTCCGAAGCTCCAGGGAGTTAGCTATCCTGACCTAGCCGTCCCTTTTCCTGAGACCTAGAAGTGAAAGCATTAATAATGGCAGCTTCACGGGCCCCTCGGCGGTTCTGGGTATGACCGGCTTTTTGATGAATATTGGAAGATGATTAATTTTGTGGGGTCTGGTCTTAGCTCTTCATTTTTGATCCCTCCTAAGGACCGCCCTGCCGTCCCTGAGCCCCAGGACCTATGACTTTAGAGACTCCAAATTTCCCCTTGCAAACGGAAAGCCTGGGATCTGTGAGGCTGGCTGGCTTATCAGGTAGATTCCCCCAGGCGTGGAGGACCTCAGCCAAGCTCCTGTATCTGGAGTCCAGGAGTCCAACCCTCAGTGTCCCCAACTCCTCCTAGATGCCTGGCTTTCCCAAGGGAGGGCAGCAGCCAAGGATCTCTCCACAAGCACATGGAGAATTCCGCACTGCAGCACAGAGCCTGGGCCACACATGGTCTAGGCCTGGGCCCACTCAAGTACTAGGGGGCAAGCAGCTTACAGGGGAGACTTGCTTTCTTTAGTGAGTCACAGTCCTTCAGTTTCCTCTGTAGAAACTGGGGCTATAAATCCTGCTCAGTGATGTCCCCAGGAAGGTGTTGATAGGCACAAGCTGTCAAGGAGCATTGGAGAGGAGGCCAGGGGAGTTCCCTGTTAACTAAGCCTCAGGAAGCAAGCCAGCCTTCCACCCCCACTCCAGCTTCTGAGATTTATTTCTCTCCAATGAAGAAATATGGTGGGGGCATGAGGGGATTTTTTTTTTAATGTTTTTTAGTTGATGGACACGATTTCTTTGTTTATTTTTATGTGGTGCTGAGGATTGATCCCAGTGCCCCAGTGCCTCACATGTGTGGGGCAAGCACTGTGCTGCAGAGCTACAACCCCAGCCCAGAGGGAATGGTTCTTAGGATAGAGCAGGAAACACAGCCAAGGGGGACCTGTTGGTCTCCTGTTCTTCAAGGGATCCCTAGTCTTGGATGGGTAGTTGCATCACTGATTTGGGTGATAAGATCAGGTCAATTCTTTCTGAGCCAGTGGGAAATTGGCATAGAGGCATATTAGATATAATTTAAATATAATGCAGCAGCGTAGTCGTTATTAATGGAATTTCCTGGTGTAAACATTGAGGTTGAAGAAACAGAAAATTTGGGACAAACAATGGGTATGTATTTTACTCATATTTGTACTCACAAGATATTTGTGAGCGGGACTGAAAGACTTTGTTATACAGAAGTTTAGGTGCTGATCCTGGCATCAAGACGGACAGGTATCAGTACCACACCTCTTGCTTATTATATGGGCAAATTCTTCATTCACCTCTCTGAGCTGCCGTTTCCTTCTCTGGAAAGTGGGAAATATAGTACAGGTTGAGTATCTCTTACCTGAAATGCTTGGGACCAGAAATGTTTGATTTTTGGGGATATGGAAAATTCACATATTCATAGTGAGATGGTTTGGGGATGGGACCCAAGTCTAAACACAAACACTTTTATATAGTATTTTAAATAAATTTTTGCATGAAGTGAAGGTTTGTGGTGTGTAATTTTTACTCATGATGTTATATCAGCACCCAAAACATCTTTGGATTAGGGATGCTCAACCTGTAATGCTGCTTCTGAGAACTGATGTTAAATAAACGAACCTTGGATGTGTAATTACTTGGAAGTAGGATGGGCCAGTGGTGCTTGTTCTAAGCATCAGTTCAACCTGAGAAGAGCTGGGATGGTGTGTGTATAAACCTCAGCTTTTGAAGCAACATTGAGAATTGTTTCTCAGTCTGGGAATATTCTCCTTCTCTTCCAATGCTCAACAGAGCTTGGCAAAGTTCAGACTCCCTCTGTCTTCCCCCTCCCCAGTGGAAGATGCCACCTGTATCCTATGTCTGTCTCCTCCCTCTGGTTAATCCCAGACCCCAAGTCGTTCTTAGCTTTCTCCAACCTGTGCCCTTCACCTCCCAGTCCCTTTGGCCCAGAGTTTCTTTATATCCTCTGGAGGCCTTTCCCCCGCAAAGTCTTTCTAAGATGGTCAGGTTAAGTTTGCCTCCTTCATTTGGTGGGTGGTCAAAAGGTGCGACCTAGTAGAGGGAGAGCAAAGTGTCCTTCCCAACCAGGGGCTTGACTTCCCCAAATTTAAACCCACAGAGGGTGGGGGCCCAGCTGTCCTTCAGAAAAAGGCTTTGTGATGGGAAGCATGCCTGCATTTCCACGTGTGCATTTATTGTTATTGCTCAGTATAGTGTTGAAAAGGCAGACAAATCCCATTAGTTACAAAGAGCACAAGCCAGAGATACAGAGAAATAAAGAGTGTACAGTAAGAGCACAGTCTCTTCCCAGCCCCGATTGTCCCAGAGCCCCCCCCCCCCCAGCCCGGGCAGCTTATGGAAGCTGGAGGCGGCACCAGTCCCTCACTACTCTGTTATAAAAGATGTGCACACAAGAGTTAGCAAGTGTGGCGACCCCCGAGAGGAACGGCTCGGGAGGGAGAGCACCACAGACATTACAAAACAGACTGAGGGGCTGAGGGGTGGCCCCGAGAAGCCTCGAATCTCTTGTTTTTGGAAGGGGTGGTGATGGCAGCTGCCCAGGGCCTGGGATCTTTCTCCCTGCTCTGTCTCCTGCCTTTTGGGTGGTGGGATCTCTACATTTAAATCAGGAGAGCTTGATTTGGAATTTGGAAAAGACCTGGGGTTTCCTGTTGTCCCATTATGGCCTTGGCTCTGGAAGACCCTAAAGCCCTCAGGAAGCAGCCCTTCCCTGCCAGATCATCTCAAGTGGGGTTCAGATGTTGCTGCAGGAAAGATTTGAGGGGGAGGCTCGTCAGATGCACCAGGTTGGCAGCCTCCGGTAGACAGAGCAGGTATGGGGTGAGGGGAGGAAGGGCACAGAGAACATCCGGGCAAGAAACTTCTGTATCTCACAGGCGCTGAAGCTCTGAATTAAATAAGAGGGGACCCCCACTCTCTGGAAAAAAAAACACCTGAAATAAAATAACCAAAAACAAGTTCAGGAAGTGGAGACAGGAACTAACGTTTCTCCCATGAACAGTACAGCGTGGGTCCCACATTCTCTCCGAGCTCACCCTCATAGCTCTGGGTCTAGGAGAACCCCTTTTTATCTTCTGATGATTGGCGGAAGATGGAGGGTCCACCTCTGCATAATCATGAGGTGACTTTGGTTCCTAAGCTAAGGCTGGGTGGGGGCTCAGTGGACTCTGTCTCACAACTCCTAGGCCTGGGCAACAGGTGAAATGACAGGAGGGACATCAGGCTTCCTTCGAGATTCAGGATTCCCCTTTTGTCCCTTCTGACAGGACACACTGTATTTAGTGACCCTGGGGAGCAGTAATTACAATATGGGGAGAGGGGTGGCACATAGGGTGACAGGACCCAGAATCTGGGCTGGGAGGAGGGCAGAGGATGGAGGTCTTGGCAGATTTTTAACATTACCTCAGAAGAATAGATATGAGAGAATAACTAGGAGATTTTGTTCAAGTAGGGTGAAGGAAACTCACCCTGCCACAGAATAAAACATTCCAAAGTGACAGTAAGCAAAACAGCGTGGCTGGGGCCAGAGGAGACATCCAGATGAGGGAATAGAAGATAAATTGTAGAAAGGCCCAAGACTACATAGGACGTCAGGAGGGATAGACGCGTCATTTTAACACAGTTGGGCAGAGGGGCTCTTGAGTGTCAAGGTTCAGAGTCCTGGCTCAAGAGCAATGTGCTCTCAGAAGCAGGGTGCCCCCGCTCTTGCCAGTTCTATGCTGGGGTTGAGACACAGGGCCCTGGTGAGGTTCGTGGAGCATTGGGGTCTGCTCCTGAGTTAGAGAAAGCCCCATATTGCAGGAAGAGCCCTCCTTTCCTTCCTCCAAAGGTAGGTCAACCTGTAGCATCAGGAGTCACTGAACATGTCTCTGCTTTTCCCTCATCTCTTATGAGGTGGGGAGCTTAGACCTCAGAGCTCTCCCTCCTACCTTCTCCTAGAGCCTGGGTCTAGAGGACAGGACAGAAGCAGAGTGTGTAGTCCAAATGAGAACAGCATAATTTACACAGTATATATTGACTATGTTCTGCTTGATGGTGTTTCTTTTTCTTTTTTTCCTGAAACCACATCTCAGAACCACACTGTGGGAGTCAGAAGAGTCGGCAATTGAAAGCATACCCATTGCATAGTATTAAATGAACAGAGACGGTGAGTTCTTTATTTACAATTATTGTCTAGATAAAAAAATTCATAAAAACAGATGAATGGTCATAAATTATTTACCCCCTAATGGGGTGATCTGCCAAACGTACCCCATGCTGCTAGATATAGGACGCAGAGTGCAAGCTTTGTATACTACAGTGAGTTGTGACAAACCAACCATTTCCTGTGTGCGTGCGTGTGTGGATGTGTGCAAGTTTGAGAGTGAGGGGTCTGTGTGTGCGATTGTCCATCATTCCTGACGAGAGAAGACCAGACGCCCATGTCGGGCCTTCCTGGTGGCTTCCATGGATCCCTGTCACCCCAGCTGGGATCTGCTCAGAGCACCCCTCCCATTTGCCTTGCATCCCGGCTCCAGGAGCACAGGGGAGTCTGGTGAGCAAGTACGACCATCCTGATATCATGGAATGAGGTCACAGATACGTGATTGAACAAAGAAGGGGAAGATGGGAAAAAACGTGAGAAAGGAAAACTTCGAAAGAAACTACCATGTTCCAGGGCTGCCCCATGTTTCCTGCGTGCCGGTCTCTCCTTCCTCGGAGGAGCGAGTGGGCTGGCTTTGGTGGTGTTTATACTAGAATCCAATAAGCGCATCCGAGGGTGGTGTTTCCTCTGCTGGATACATTCAGAGAGACTTCTTAGTGACACTCAGGCGATGCTCTTTTGCACGGAAGGTCATCCTTAGAGAAAGATTTTGCCAGGTGGGATGGGCTGACTTTGAACCCCAGAGCTGTCAGGTTTTTCCACAGCTGTGCAGACACGGGCCCTCCCAGCTGACTATGGCTCTTTTCCCGGTGGCTCTCATCTTGGTAGTGGAAGAGTTCTCTGGGCCTGGAGAAGGGGCAGGGGCCAGGCGGACACGAAATGACTGTGGGGAAGGGTCAGTGTGACGAATGGACTTTGCAAGCGAGGCGGGAAGTGTTTGGTTTTCCTTGAAGCATGGGACATCATCGATCATGGTATTCAAAATGTCTTTTGCACTGTACAAGTTTATGGAAAAAGATTGTATGCTGAAAAGTCTCAAAGCAAACTTTGTATTAAATACAAAAGTTCTTTTATGAAAAAAGCTGAGACCCACAAAGTGCTTAGCAGTTAAGAGGCTGACAGACAATTAAATAAGCTCTTATTAAGTGGGATTACTAGTGCTGTTATTGTCTTGGGGGGGGAAATAGCCACCTTTTCTGACCTGTGATATGGGAGGGTTTCAGAATGGCTTTCTGTCTGGGGAAGCAAGACTTGCTGTTACAGGTTACAGTATATATTGTGGCTAAAGGAAGACAATTTGGTTTAAAAATCACACTGAATACATCTCAATATACACATCATAAGGTTCATTCGGATCTAAATAGTGCAGAGAAAAAGGCTATTCTTCTTCAAAAATAAAAATAAAAGCAGCAAGCCATACCGATCTTCATCCAGTGTGCCAACAGCTTATACGCTGCCATTTATAAGGAAATAAACTTCTAAATTACTAACTAAAAAAAAAATCAACACAATAGCATTTATAATATTTCAACACTACCTCAATCTCTGTGCAGACAGCGCCAAAGACAACCTATTTTGGAAATGCTCTTGGTAAACTCAAGTGAGTTTCATTGAGAGAAAAGTCTTGAGCCAGTGCTTTTGACATCCTTGGGCCGTGACAGCCGCTGGTGCCACAAACCCAGGAAACCTTCTCTCCTCTTCTCCCTTCGTCTACGGAGCCTGTGGCTGAACACCTCCGGATGGATCCTCAGTAGCATTTGGCTTCTGCCTGAGCCTCCCATGGTAGTGACGTCATTGAACGGAAATAGCAGGCAAAAATCAGAGCATGGCTATTGTAAAACATCGAGGATGCAATCCAGGGGAAGTGTCTGTTGGGCCGAGCTATTTTTATAGCATCTGAGCCACCAGTGTTCTTGAACCGTACAAATAGCCAAAGACATTATCTACAGGTTTGTAAACAAATTACATTCTTCTTTTAGGACATAAATAAGTTAAAATAGAGCAATTTAAGCAGAAACAAGGCAACATGCCGGCAAAGAAACTTTATGTCTCCATGTATATATATTTATATATATATATATCTACCTTCTATATGGACGTATACAGTCTTGGAAAGTATACGTTGATATAGATACAAAGAAATGGATATAACCTCGTGAGTGTCTATGAAGTTCTTCGGTTCCATCGGTGCAAATCTACTAGGCGAGTTAAGCTCTGCGATTTCAAAAAGTTATTAAATTAATCTATACAACTGAGACCATGCTGCGCAAGCATTTCAAAAGCTCACAGACCAGTGGATCGGATAAATAGTCTCAGAAAAGAGTCCTGTTTGCAGTTCCCGCCTAAGAAAACAAACGAACAAAAAACCCCTCCCCCTCTCCAACCCCCCCAAAACCAAACAAGGGGAGGATGGAAAGTGTCCAGTACATTCATGCGGGGGACGTGGTGGCCGGGTGGGTGCATGGCTGGTCCATGTCTTGAGTGGGAGCCAAGAAAGGCTCCCTTTGGGATAACTGCTCACTCCTCCCAGAGGCCCCCGGGAACCCGGCCCTTGCCTCGAAGTGAAAAATTGTTCAAACAGCATCGCAGCCAGAGAAAGGTCTGTGGGTGGAAACGTCGGTTTTCTCTCCAGTATTTGGTTTCCTGGGGTTGCTCCTTGCTGCGTGGGTGAGTCGGGTGCCTGGAGGGTGGGTGCCCGGGAGCGGTGGCAGCGGGTCCCTTAGGGCGGGCCGGCGGGTGGGCAACAGGGTCCTCAGCTAAAGCGACGTCTCCAGGCTGTGAATGGGGCTCCCTGGACTTGAAGAGGTAGCTGATTTGCTCGTGTCGGTCGTCAGGTTGATCCCGCTGTCGATGGCGCTGTTGTTCTTGTTGAGCGATGACGGTGGGCTGGAGTTCTGCTTGAGCGCGGCATCTTCTTCCAGGTCGGTGTCGTCGATGAGGGGGATGTGGGGCTGTGAATCTTCGATCCGGAATTCAGGATGAGCCATGAAGTTATGGATGGAGGTTCGAGACTCGGGCTTTTCTAACCCTTCATAGAGAGAGCTACGGAACGCCTTCACGACGCGGATCTGCAAGGGAAGCACAGGGCTCAGGAGCAGCCCTGGGGCCTGCGGGGGCTCCGGGGGCGCTCAGAGGATGGGGCTGGAGGAGGGTGAGGGCAGCAGGCGGCTGGAGTCCACAGTCGCTGGGTGCTATGCGCCTCGCAGGGAGGGAAGAATGGCAGAGGGGCTCAGGTGATGTGCATCCATGAGCTGGATTTTAAAATGGCTTTGGTTTTGGTCAGAACTACAGTATTAGGACAGGAGGGTCATCAAGCACCATGAAAGAGATGCTGGGACACAGTGGTGAACGGAAGCATGGTCCACTCCAACGGGCACCCCGACCTAGTGAGAGACTGAGCCTGGTTAACTTGACAGCAGAGGTTCGACCATGCAGAAGGGAGAGGGGCAGGGGAAGAGACGGGGAAAGAGGAAAGGCTTTTTTTTTTTTTTAATTAATCTTAAAAATAAACCAAAAAACCCCCCAAAACCACACACAGTTAAGAAACCAAACCACATGGAACAGGTTACGTGTCACACAGTAAAGGGACAGGAAGGAGAGACGGCTGGATGAGCGGGGATGAGAGAAGACATACGAGGCCAAACAGAGAACGGGGACATCAAACTGAGGCAGCAAAGCGGATGAAGCCAGCTCAGGTCTTTCTGAGGCGCAGAGCAGAGGCAGCCAGAAAGCACGAAGGAGCCGCAGATGGTGACATTCAGGGGCAGGGAGCATGCCACAGCAGGGTCAGGAACCACACAGCACACACAGACGGACACACGGCTACACTTGGAAGCCTGGGCAATGTGAACGAGATCGTTTGTACCCAGCGTTTCTTTCCTTCATGCATTTGGGAGGTAAACACTCGAGTATAGACTCACAGCCCTGGCCAGTCAGTGGAGCTTGCTTTGGTGGTGGTGGGGGGTTCTCTGGTTTCCTGGGGTGTTTTGTTCATTTCTTTATTTGTGCTTTGAAAACACAAAACCAAAAAATGAGGCCAGAAGCAGATGGCCAAGCCCAGCCTCCCCGGGCACTTCCGGGGGGCGTGTACAGTGTTTCTTGTCAGTGGTGAGCTACGCAACGAGGCTCAGCCTCCCCTGAAGACTGGAAGGAGGCTGCTCATTGGGTCTTCAAGGACAGTGGATGGGGACTTGGAAGTAGGAAGAGACCCAAGTGTGGGCTCTGGCTCTGCTGCCTTTTGTGCCTTGGCTGTGGGAGACCCACACTGTCTCTCTGGTCATGCTCTGTCCTGCCTTACAGGGTGCAGAGGGGCAGGACCCTCACCTGGGAGAGAGGTATCCCCTCTCTGGGCTCCTGGGAGAGGGGACATGCCTGTCACCTCAGGGGACTGATGGGCCTCGGGACAAAGGTGCCTTGTGCTCTCTTCCCAGCCCCAACTCAGAGCAGAGTGAGAGGTGGAGGAACACGGTGGCTGGGTATGGAGTGTGTATGGGGGGTGGGGCCGAGGGGCAGGGCCTTGGTGACACCTCCAGCCTGCAGGGAAGCAGAGGACCCTGTGGAGATGGTTGTGGGGAGGCCCTAGAAGTCCCAGCCTGAGCTCTCGGCTAACCCCAGGGCTGGCTCCTCTGATGGCATGGTGTGGAAGCCTGTTCCCTGGGAGTGAATTTTCTGGGTGCCTCTGGTTGGTGATTCTGTGTATCATAACTGAGGTGTATTTCACTGTTTTTGGGAGAGGGCTTCTATAGCTCTCATGTGCGCTCTGTCTTCTGAGGACAAACACAGGGAGAGTTTAACTTGGGTTCTGCTGTCGTCCTTCTTGGTCTGGTGCCAGGTCACCCCATTTGGCTCTCTCCTCCCCCCTGAAGTTCCCCTCTGCTGTGGGATATCAGTTATCAGTGCTGACTTCCGCATGTTTTCTAAGGAGCATCTCTGTCTCTCCAGAGTCCCTCCAGAGTCCAGCACTTGCTAGAATCATGCTTTAAATAAGAGACAACAGAGTTGGCCAGACACTGCATTAGTGCTGGCACTTTGTGATGGCCCCCTTGGCTGCCCCGACTTCCCTATTGGTGGCTCTGTAGGGATGATGAATACTCGGATCTCTGGATATATGGGCCATCACACCATTGACTGAGAGAAAATGCAGAACAAAACAAAAAGTCCTCAGTTTTCTCATCTGTAAAATGGGGTAATCAGTGTCACTAGCACTGCCCTAGTGCATGGGCTTTCTGAGGCTGATGTGCATTGAGATGCCGGCTGGAGCACTTGGTGCATGTGTGGGGGAAGGGGACAGTGGCAGGCCCCTGTCATGTGACTGACAACGCAGAGGGGACGACACACAATGAGATGAGGCCCTTCCACCCTCCCCCTGGCATGGAGACAACAGAAATAATGAACTGCTCTGGACAAGACTGTGGGGACAAGACTTTTCGGGACACCCCGCCACGGCCATCTCAAGTCTCCACTTCGGTTCTCTCTGTGGCTGAAATGGAAAAAAATATATATGGGAAGAAAAAAATGCTCTTCCATCTCCCCTCCCTGCCTGCCGTGGAGATGGGACTTGGGGGCAGAAGTCAAGTTTGGGTACAGGGACCAGGAAAGAGGAAGGACCCAGTGGGCGGGATTCAGCTGGTGTGGCTTGGTCAGCACAGGGCACCTGGCGCTACGGGAGGGCTCTGGGGGATGCACAGGCCCCTCTCTGAGATGCTTCCTGGGTTCCACATACTCGAATGTTTACCCGGCTTCAAGGAAGCCAAGAGTCTGGGATTGATTCACATTCATTTCAGGCTCAAGGTTAAAGACTCACAACCTGTTTTAATTTCACTCTCTCTTGCTGAACTCTGTGTCCAGGGTTCTCTAGCCCTCTAGGGAAACAAACACATGGCATATTCAGACAGTGGAGAGGTCTGGGGCCCCCCCCCCCAACCCAGAAGCAAGCCATTTTCTTGCCAACCCAAGTCGCCTAAATGAGTTACCAAAATGCTAAAGAGAGGTCCAGCTTTCTGTCCTCCTCCTTGTCTTGATTTCTCTTCCTCACTGCACACTCCTTGCCCTAGCAGTCCTCAAAACCAGGACAGGTGGTCCCCTGTCTGTCTAGGGAGGCATGGTGTCCAGAATGTGGCCCAGGCCTGGCTCACGAGTGGGTCTGAAGGAGCAGGAATTCACTGATGAACATAGAACCTGCTACAGACTTGCTCAGGACAAAGATGGCTTGAGATGAGTTAGGATTTGAGGGGGAGAAGGGGAAGAAGAGGCCGTGCAGCCTGGCGTTTGATGAAAGAGCCGAATGGGGTTCTGGTCACGAGTGGGAAATCATGCTGTGTCTCGTTCCCTACCAGGCTGGGGGACTTTTCCCAGTGAGCCTGTGGGTGTGGGTGCCCGCTGTGGAATGGAAGTTCAGCCTCCATGCCTCCAGGTCTGTGGACCTGTCTGGGAAGTGGTATGGGGTGATGGGACAACGAGGGGACAGACTTCTCGCCACTCCTTTGCTGTGGGTGTCTGTCAGTGTCTTCCTCTGTTCCATTAACATGCTGGTAGACTGTCCTTTCTTCCTAGTCATTTTGTGACAGGGCCTTGCTAAGTTGTCCAGGCTGGTGATCAACTCTTGTTGGCTAGGGACAGTGGTTTGACTCCTCTAGGGGCACACAGACTGCAGCTCTCTGTGCCTCGGCAGGCACATGGCCATGTTTGCTGAAGAGCCCCCAATGTGTAGATCCTGCTTTGTGGGGGCAGCCCCTGTCTATCCACCCAATGGGGCCCTGCTGCTGTGTCCTGGCCACTTGATTCAAACCTCCCTGTGGGCAGGAAGCATTTTTGGCTTCTCAAGGGACCTTGTCTCATATTTAGAGGGTCCTCAGAGTCCTTGGAGACCAGAGGAGGTGACATTGTTATGGAAACTATTCAAGCAAAGGACAAGGGATGTTTACTTAGTGTTTGCACAGTGACCCTCATGACCAAATGTGTATGCTGAGACTACAGAGGTTGGGATCCCTCTTGGAGCCCGTGCCCTTGGGCAAGAAGATGGTGAGGTTCTTTTTGGGACCCTATGCCCTTCTGGAACCCAGTTATAGGCTGGACTCTGAAACAAGAGGGTAGGAATGCTAGGTTCCTGGCGATGGGCTTGGGTGAGGGAGTTGGTGTGACCAACCCCACTGGGGCTTCTGGGAGAATGAAGGGTCAGGGGTGAGGACCAGTAGGTCAGCTTTGGGACAGCCTCTGCCTAAGCTCCATTCAGAGGCTTTTTCCAAAGTTGAGGTCAGTTGGGATAAGGGGGGCTGATCTGGGCTGGAGGGAGTTTAAGAGTGGGCATAGAGGTGCATTTCTCTGAAGGAACAGTACTGTCCCACTACTGGCCTCCTTGAATGGTTTTACAAATGACACAAAAGAAGAGTGAGAAGGAGGCGCGGAGGTGTGAGTGGACTGAGCTTTCTTCTTGATCATGAGGGCTAAGCTGAGGGACTAAACCCAGGGAGGGTCTGCCAAGGCTGTGTGGGTGCCCAGGAATGTTGGGTGAGTTCTGTCCTGGCCGGTGCAAAGCACTGTGCTTCAAGAAAGAGGCTGAAAGAGGCCAGGCAAGGTGGCGCATCCCTGTAATCTCAGTGGCCAGGGAGCTCAGGCAGGAAGATCACAAGTTCGAGGCCAGCCTTAGCAACTTAGCAAGGCCGTGTCTCAAAAAAAAAAAAATAAAATAAAAAAGCAGGGCTGAGGATGTGGCTCAGTGGTTAAAGGGAATGGAAAAAAGAACTGAGCTTGCACCCAGGAGCCACAGTCCTGGCAATCAGGGTCACTCAGAGCAATTCTGGAGTCACCAACAGGGGTGTCTCCGTACCAGAACACTTGGAGACTGCACTTCTAGACAGGTGGGGTGCTGTGCAAGGTCAAAGTTAAGCTGCTACAGGGACAGGAAAGAGTAGAAGAGTCATCTGGGGTGAGGGCTTTGGTCTGAAGGCCAGAGAAGTTGGGACTAAAGTGTTTCCTGCCCAGAGAAAGCCTGGCAGTGATCTCCTAGTGACGGCACCTTATGGGAACATGACTCAGACACCAGCTGCTTACATACATGTCCACATCCCGTGGCGCATCTGGTCACCTCATCGCTGTGTTTTTGTGCTAATGAATGAACATTTTCTGCATCCTTCCTGCAGTCTTGTGAACTGGGCAGGAGATGAGCGCAGGCCATGGACAGGATCAGGTTCTTTGTGGTCATATGGAATAGCTCCCACACCACACACACCCTGCTGGGGAGGGAGGAGCGTTGCGGCTGCTGTGGTTTTGGGTGCAGGTAGGGGCACTTCATGAAGCCTCAAGAGGTAAGGCCTGGAGTCTGTTTCCCACTGTCTGGTGGGAACACTGGACCCAGGGACTCCCTTGAGTGTGGGGGGTCTAACTGGAGACAAAACCAGGGAGCATCTGGGAAATACAGACTGACTCCTTCTGGGGCCTAAAGTCACGGAGAAGCCAGGAAATCCAGAGATGAGAGATGAGGGACTCAGGTCAGAAGGGGCGGCATGAGGAGAGGAAGAGGGAGATGAAGGAGGGCTCACAGTCCCTCGGACCCTCAGATAAAGAAGGACAGGATGCCAAAGGTTAGACCTGAACCCTCCGGGCCTGCTGGCACCCAGAAGAGATGTGAGGTATGCCCCACACCCATGGGCAGGAGCCTTGTCTTTTCCAGGAGGGGGTCAGAAATTTAGCGTGTCCCGACTTCTAGTAGGGGAAGTGTTTGTAAGTCCCCTGATGCCATCAGATGGGCAAGGGGAGGGACATTCTAGAAGGGAGATTTCAGAATTTTGGGACTCCTGACTGATGGTGACCTCTGGCCTACAGTGACCTCTTGGCCTGTCTGTCCCTCTTGGTCATGACTTCCAACACCATTAGGTATTATCTGATCATCTGGGAAAGCCGAGATGACATGACCTCTCTCTTGGTGGGATCCCACTATTACCCCTGAGGGGCTTTTACCCTGACCCACAGTACCCATTGCTTGACTTTGACTGCAAGATTGTGACCTGCAGGCCAACTCTGACCCTTGTCGTCATGGGCTAGGCTTTTCCTGACAAAGTACAACTAAACTAGATGACACTCTGGCCAGCTCTATGACCGCCTGTCTTGGCTTCTGGGACCTGTGGTGGACTGAGACCATTAGATCACTGAAACCCAAACCCTCCTGTCCACTGGTGATCTTCTGACTCAGACCTTTGGACGGCTTGTGACCCTAACGACACTGACAGGTTGGTTGTAACCCCTGGACCCAGCTGACCCTGGCCTGCTGAGTGACTGGCTATGACCTCCTGACCAACTGGGACCCTCTTCAGTGGTAGTGACCCTTTAGCCCCCTGGGCCTGACGTGACCAGCTGCCCCCCACGTCCTCTGGCACCCCTGCCCCTGCCCGCCCCAGGGGCTGGCGTTGGTGGCGCCAGCAGAGGCGGTAAGGAGTCACACTCACGCCCAGCTGCAGCAGGAGGAAGGCTGGTCGGAGAGGAAAGAGCATTGGACAACGACACGCGACTAGGGCTAGAGAGATTGGCTACGTCCTGGCTCTGGCTGGTGACGGAGGACTGTCTCCGCAGGGCCCCCTGAAAGGAGGCCCCGCTCTTGAATGTATTGACTACTTCAATCTGCAACGGAGGAGAGAACGAGACAAGTTGCGAGAAGAACGGACACGACAGCTACACAACTGACAGGTGCAAGGTCACGAGAACAGCCGCAGCCACGGCGACAACGACAACAGTCACTTAAACCAAAACAAAAAATACCAGACACACTCCAAGGCTCTGAAAGATGTCTGCTCAGCTCCGGGCCCATCTGTAGGCCCCAGGGTCCCCGGGAGGACACAGGGTTCCAGCCTCTCCCCTGTGCTAAGGGCTGGGGACCGTGGCTGGGGGAGGCTGGGGGTGAGCATGCTGTTTGGCCAGAAGAGTAGCTGCTCAGCCTCCCTGGGCCAGGCCTGGAGCCAAGAGCATTGTGGTGGGGGCCCTGGGGTGGGCAGACCTTGGTCCAAATTCTGGCTTTTGTCACTTACTAGCTAGGTGACCTTGGGCAAGTCCCCTGTCTGAGTCCTGTTTCTTGTCCTTAAGAAGGGGCAAAGCCATCTACCTGGCAGGCTTATCTGCAAACAGCAAACACCAGGCCCACGTTAGTGCTCAGGAAGAGGCGGGTATGGGTATGCTCTGCTCATGCCCACTCTAGAAACTACAGTCTTTGGTTCCTCCAGCAATCTGGAGACCTGCAGGACAGTGACAGTCACAGGACTGGAGCCACCGGATGCTCTGCCCCCACAGGAAGTGGGGCCACTGGGGTCCTGGCTAGGGAAGGGGGTGCCCAGGCTGCATCAGGTAGCTCTGGGTCTGAAACCCATTCCCTGTCCCATCCGGGTCATGCCATCTCAGCAGAAGGGCCACCTCAGGGGCTGAGTGGCTTCTAGAACTGGGGAGGCAGACCCACCTGTCCTCTCAGGCCATAAAGGTCAAATGAGATGAGGTTTGGGACTGGCACTGTGGGGTGAGAAGTGGCCCAGGGGAACCACCTGCTGCACAGGACAGAAATGAAGTTGCTAGTCCACCTCTGGAGACCGAGGTGCAGCGGTGGCTCTTTGCCAAGCTTTCCCAGAGGGTCAGGGAGGGATCAAGGATGACCTCCCCAGCTGGAGTGCCCCTGGTGGTCTCTCAGGTCAGAAGGCCTCTCTCTTGGTTTGGTCCCCTTTTGATCCCGGCCTCACAGAATGGTGACAGCATGCCTGTGAACAGCCTCTGACTGGGGGAGGGGGCTCTGGGTGAGCATGAGGCTTGTGCCTGTGGAGGGACATGGTTTATTACATGTCGCATGGTGGCTCCCCACGCGTGTGTGTGGCAGGCACAGGTGTGTCTGTGTACCTGCTCCCCAGGGCCTCCTTGACCACCTGTGGGAGTCTGGGGGAGTGTCTGGAGCCCTTGTGGGGGCAGAGGATGTGCGTGGGTGCATAAAGGTCTCACCCCGGGGCCCTGAGAAAACGTGAGGCAATCCTGGCCTGTAGCTTCCACCTAGCCTTGCCCTACCCCTCCTGGTGGCCGTCCCCAGCCACCACAGTCCCCTCACTCACCTCAGCCCTCAGAGCTGCCCCTCTACCACCCTCCCAAGGGACTTCTCCTGGAAACCCAGGGTGGGATCGACCCCTGCAGCGGCTCCTGGGGGGGGCCACAGTGTGATGGAGTCTTCCTGAGGAGGCTGCTCTGTCCTTGTAGCAGCATGAGTGTGTGTATAAGGAGCGTCGTGTGCGAGTGGCTGGTGACACAGTGAGGGCTGGTCTGGGGCCTTACAGTACTCTTTGCAGGGCGCTATGAAAGTCCCCTGGGCCTTTCTGTGGCCACCCTCGGTGCCAGAGCCAGCTCTGGGGATGGCAGGCACACACTGACCTCTGCCACCATCTGCCAGCAAGGCCTGGGCCCCACCCTGGGGCTTCCTGTACCTGTGTCTGAATCCGATTCAGGCCCCGGAACCACAGGATCTGGCCGCGGCGCAGCTCCCTCTCGGCGTGGTCGATCTCCTCCACGTCCTCGTTGAGCTCCTCCTCAGGGATCTCCTCCTTCTGCGTGAGCCTGCCTGCCTCCTTCAGGAACTTGAGCCTGCTCGTGGGGATGGTGGCGATGACCTGCAAGGGACACCACCCAGCAGGGGTTCAGGGCAGCCTGTCCTTCCAGCTTCTCCTCCACTTCCTCTCCCTCCTCCTCTACCAGGGCGTCCAGCCTCAGGACCCACTTGCTCCTTAGTCCATCTCTCCCATCCCTTGGCTCAACCTTTTACAAGTCCTTGTTAACTTACTTTTTCACTCACTCGTCTAGACTCAGGGGCACAGTGGGACCTCTGGGCCTTCAGAAGTTGCCCAGATGTGACTTGGAAGACATCACACTGTGCTGGTTGTGTAGCCCTGGGCAGGTCATGTACCCTCTCTGAGCTTTGGTTTCCCCATCAGCGAGGATGCAGCCGGGAGTGTAAGTTGCTGTGTAGACCTTCGCTTATGGCTGGCCCTCAGGTCTCCCGGGTGCATTTCCCCCTGAGGTCACTGGGTCAAGGGATCTCCAAACCGGGGGAACAAGGGCATAGGTCCAGGTGGCCTGGGGCTAGCCAATCTTATACTGGGAAGGCAATACAAGAAGGGATGTGCCTTCTTCTCCATCTGAAGGCTTCCCAAATGGCTTGTCCATGGGTCCGAGGCCCAAGAGTCAGCCTGATGTAGCAGATGCCAGAGATCCCTCTAATCCATGAGGACAGACACTCAGCCTAAGGGTTCTTGGGAGTTTAGGGACAACACTGTCCACTGGTATAGACCTTAGTCCTTCAGAATCTGCTCCCCCAGATGCTGAGAGTATGGGCTTCAGTGTGATAGAGATGGCCTGGTCCCAAGAGGTGCCCAGAGAAGGGGTTCCTAGATCAAATTGAGTCTATCAATTTTCCAAAGAAGCTCCAAATTTTAAAGATGAAACTCCTGGGTATGGTAGTCATTTCAAAATGAAACCTGTAATACCAGAAACTTGGGAGGTTGAGGCAGGAGGGTCACAAGTTCAAGGTCAGCCTGGGAAATTTAGATCCTGTCTCAAAATTAAAAATAAAAGGTGCTGGGAATGTAGTTCAGTGATGGAGACCCACTGGAGTTCCACCTCCAGTTCCAGTACTGCTGATAACTTTCTTCTGTATCTTCTAGTTAATTTTTGTCACTGTGGCTTCTTACTCTAGCTTGGGGACAGCCATGAAGGAGAAAATGATGTCTCAGGCCCGTGGGGTCCCCACGGCCTGGGTGTCTGAGCACTTTGGAAATCAAGCTCCTTGGGTCCAGGATGAGCTCTGGACACCTACCCAGCACCTAGGTCATGAGCAAGCTGTCAGAGTTGTGATGGCGTGTGCGTGCGTGCGTGTGTGCGTGTGTGCGTGTGCATGTGGGTACACTCAATGCTCGTGTGCGTGGAACTCGGCAAACATAGGGGAGGGAACTGGCTGAAGAATGTCCTGGGATCAGGGCTAGAGGGGCCACCAGAGAGTATTCCCAAAGCCAGGGAAGATCTCCTGTGACCCCAGGCACAGTACTGTGTCACACTGCAAACATGGCAGGATTTGTACCTCTGAGTCAGGACACCACTGACTAATGTCCCCTTTCAACACACTGGCTTCAGGCCCTGAGCCTTGGCAGGCCACAGTGTCTAGCTAGCACTTAATAACATTGTGTGCTCATGACATTAAATTTTTTGTTAGCTTCTATTTATGGTAAGTGACTGATTTTCTAGTTATGTTAGTAATATTATGTTGCCTTTTGAAGTAAATTTGTTAAAAAAAATCCCAAATTGATTAAAAAATATTAATAACAGGAGCAATGGTAAATAGATAAAAGGCAAAATTCAGAGTGGTGGCATATAGATGTCTAGCATTTGGGACCTGGATAGGTCCTCTCTGCTCAGATGCCTAGAGATGGTGAGGGCCTTGCCTGGGGTGGCAGTGAGTCTATGGCAGAGCCAGGACCCATTCCTGGGGGCTCCTGTCCAGTGCTCTTCCCCTTCCCCTGCAGAGAGGCACCTGCAACCCCCAGGAACCCACCTGGCCCCAGACGAGCTCTCCCAACCCGATGAATATGCACCACATCCACTGGTCCAGCTGCAGCGGCGAGCAGCTGAAGGGCTTCCCTCCAAACTGCACGATCACTATCTGGAGGTCAAAGGGAGCAGAGACACAGGGGGACAGGCCCTCAGCGGCTGGCACAGAGGGCTGGGGTGCTCACTGCCCAGCCCAGCCCAGGTGAGGGCAGGGGCCTGGCTACCTGGATGGCAAAGGTGCCCAGCACGATGGTGCAGAAGATGGGGTTCCGGAAGATGCCATCGAAGACGTTGCGCTCGCCATGGATCTTACGGGCGTTGATCTCATTGAAGAGCTGCATCATGACGAAGGTGTTGAAGATGATGGTGTAGTGCTCTGAGGGTGGTGAGTGCAGGGGGGCGTTCCTCCCACTGTCGATCTGGAACATCTTCTCGCCTGCCAAGCCGAGAGGGCAGGGGCTGGGCTGGGAGCAGCAGAGGAGGGAGGCACGGCTGGAAGCACGGGGCAGGGTACAGCCCGCACTGCTGCCTGGTCAGTGAGGGAAGGGTCAGCAAAGCCCTTTCTCTAAGGGGCAGGGGGCAAAGACCTTGGGGAGCTGTCTTCCGCCTTTCCTGTGGAAATCTGAGAAAGGTAAAATGCCAGTTGCATACTGGGTGACATTGCTTATAAGAAGTGACCCTAGATTGGCAAGTGCATCTGGACTGGGAGGACAAGAAAACCTGTGGGAAGGTGCTATGGTTTGCCAGTGTCCCCCAAGGCTCAAGTGATAAAGGCTTGGTCCCCAGCCCACAGTGCTATTGGGGAACCTTTAAGAGGTGGAGCCTAATGGGGGGTCTTATGGTCCCTGGGATATGCTATCAAAGGGGATTCTGAGGCCCCAGCCTCTTCCTCTCTTAACTTCCCCTCCGTGTTGGGCAGTTTCCTCCAGCCTGTACCTCCTCACCACAGGCCTAAAAGCAACAGACTGACCATAGACTGAAACCTCCAAAACTGTAAGCCAAAATAAACATTTCCTCTTTTTAAGTTGATTATCTCAGGTGTTTTGTTACAGCAACAGAAAGCTGATCACACGGAGGCCATGGATTTGGGCTTCCCTGACAGTTCTGCTGCTTGGCACTGAGCATGCCCTTGCTGAGACCTCTGGAAGCTCATGGGGCTGTTTATAAGAGATCCCCATTCCTATGTGAGTGTGGGGCTTCTAGGCTGGGATGGCCTTGGAACCACCCTTTTGGGCTTCATCCTTTCACACCTGAGCTGTTGCTTGGGGTGGTCCCCAGATGGCTGCGTGGATGCCTGTTGGTGGCATGTCTGATGCATCCTGTATCCTTTTGTAAAACCTCATGAACTGGTGCCAGGAAGGTCATGGAATTTTCTGGGTAGAAGGTGTCCAGCCAAACCCAAGAACGGCAGGTGATGAAGTCGGGGTTGGGTGGTGGTGCGGGCAGCAGGCAGTAGGAGCCCCAGTTCTCCTCCCTTTCTCCCACCACTTTCTCCTAGTGTCTCAAGGTTTTCTTTCATGAGGCTTCCTCTACAGCTTTTCAGGATAATTTTTACAACAGTAAACTATGTCCCGACAACACAGCACTTTCCATATTTACAGAAGGTGACTGCCCTTTCTGGACTGAGACCCTTGCTGCGCCACCATGCATACTCTGGGCGTTGAGGGCACATGCTCGTTAGCATTGAAAACCCAGCTCCAGGCTGGGGACGCTGCACTGGCCTGTCTCTGTGTGGCCAGCCCCTTCCTCTTCCTGAGTTGGGGACCATGATCATCTCAGAGGCTCCACAGAAACCAGGCCATTCTGAATCCCAGCCAAACCTGATTCTCTTTCTAGTTCCTCCTCAGACCAGCTGTGTGCCCTTAGGTAAGCACCTCACCTCTGTGAGCCTTGGTGCCTTGGAGTAATGGGGGGTCAAGGTACTATAATTTGGATCTGGAGTGTCCACCAGAGGCCCATGTGTTAAGACTTGGTCCCCAGGGTGGTGCTACAGGGAGGTGATGGAATCTTTGAGAGATGGAGCCTTGTGGGAAGCCTTGTGGGAAGCCTTGTGGGAAGCCATGCCTGTGACAGGGACAGGCATGTCTTCGAAGGGGGACATGGGCCCTGGTCTCTTCTGCTCTCTCTGCCCCCTGGCTCCCAAGACAATCAGTTTTGCTCTACCCCATGCTCCTGCCGTGAAGTGCTGCCTTGCTATTAGCCCAAACACCTGACCGTGGACAGAAACCTTCAAAACTGTGAACCAAAATAAACTTTTCTAAGTTTTCTTGGGTAGTTTATTATAGTGACAGCCAGCTTCCTAACACAGGAGCAAGGGCACCTGCCTCATGGCTGGCTGGAGGCCTAAATGAGGCAACTTTGGTGGAAGTGTTGTGCAGGCAGCTGGCAATTACACAGACGTCTCCATGAGGACGCCTTCCCTGGTTCAAGAGAAGGTGCTGGAAGAGGTCAGGGAAGGGGTCCCAGCTCTGATGAGCTGACATGAAGTGTCAGCCCTGCACCCACCTTGTGTGATGTGCACTCAGACCTGGGAGCTGCAATCCATGGAAAAAACCCTAGATTTGGGGTCAGCTAGGCCTGTGACAGGGACAGACTCTGCTCAAAGCTCCCTCTGTGACCTTGAGCAACTTACTTTACCTCCCTAAGCTTGAGCAAAATAGGAAGGTGGCTGTGAATCCAGATGCCAGGTCTGGGCCAAACTGTCCCTGGAAGGTGGTGACAGGGCCACTGAGGATGTGGGCAGGGGGCTCACCAACGAAAAGCAGGGTGAAGATGAGGGTGAGCTGGTAGACTGCGTGGCCCAGGATGTTCTTCATCATGGTCCGGGAGATGAGGGGCTTGTTGCGTCCGTATGGCTTCCTCAAAAGCAGAGTCTCAGTGGGCGGCTCTGTGGCCAGAGCCAGGGAGGCGAACGTGTCCATGATGAGGTTCACCCAGAGCATCTGCACAGCCTTCAGAGGGGAGTCCTGGGGAAGTGGCCCAAGGAGAGCTCTGTCTCAGGAGCCAGCCCCTCCTCTGCCATAGAGTGCTGGTAGGATGTGATGGAGGTCACATGAGGCTGGCCTGCCCCGTGGGTTCCTGAGCAGGTGCACAGCAGGTTCTAGAAGCCTCCTTTGGAGGACTGGGAGCTGCCCACCTCAGCCCTGTACCCCGCTGCCCCAGGAGAAGGCAGAGTCAGTCCCCCAGGCCCAACAGCCACCAGCTTCTGGTAATCTTAGCTGCATCCCCGCCACCTCCCTCCCCCCTGCTCTTGGCCATGTCACAGCACAGACCCTGCCACTCCCCCCTTCCTCTGCACCTCCTGCTGCCTCTTTCCCCTCAACTGTCTGTGGCTCAAGTCTCTCCTTTCCGTGACCCTTGTCCCCAATTTCTCCATGCCTCTTATTATCCTACGTTATTCTAAAAAACCTCTCTTTGTGTTTCTATGACTTTAAAAATAATACATTTTCATGCTGGGAAATTTTGGCACATAAGGAATAGCAGAGGAGGCTAAAAGTCTCTGGGGATCTCACAGAGGTTACCACTGCCCCTATTCTGGTGTGTGCCCTTCCAGACCTCTCGCTGACTGAGACGGAAGGGCACCAGGTGTCGGGCACAATCACAGCGCAGGGTCTCCACTGCCTGAAGGAACAAGCTGCTGGTCGCCCTCCCTCCTCCTGCCCCGTAGGCCTTGACCATAGCTGTAGGCTTGGCCCCTCTGTACCCCCAAATGCCTTTCTCTGTCACCAGCCACTTCTGTATCAGATTGAAGGATCCCTCCTCCAGCCTCACCGCAGTGCCAGGCCACTCCGGACCCCACTCTCCTGGTCCTCCCTTTCAGAGGGCTCCTCCTCCCTCCTTTTAAAACTGGGTTCCTGGGCTGGGGTTGTGGCTCAGCGGTAGAGCGCTCGCCTGGCATGTGTGAGGCCCTGGGTTCGATCCTCAGCGCCACATAAGAATAAATAAATAAAATAAAGGTATTGTGTCCAACTACAACAACAACAACAAAATATATTAAAAAAACTGGGCTCCTGTGGCCCCTTCCTGGGCCCTGCTCTCCTCTGTGTACCTGTCTCCCTAGCTTTAAGGGACCCACCTCCTCCCACCTGGCCTCTCTCCATCCCAGACTCCCTGTGGCTTTAGCCTTGCCCATCTGGGGGCCATGGAACACAGCCTTCAGGAAGCCCACCCACCCTGACCCCTCTGCCTGCACCCGTGCGCTCGCTCACCTCCTAGGCAATTGTCACAGCCCCTCCTGGCCAGCTCCCCGGCCTCTGCCCTGGCTCAGCCGTCCCTCTTGGGCTTCCTCCTGCCCCTCAGCTTTCTCTGGTTGAGTGCACCTCAGGGACTGGTCCACCTATTCCCCCTGGTCCCCTACCTGGTTCAACTACCAGTTTTCTTTGAACCTCAGTTTCCCCACCTGGTACCAGTTGGATCCAAGAAGCCCGAGTTTCTGTTGCCATGGCAGTGTCCCCAAGCTGCCACTAGAGGGAGCTTCTCATCCACAGGAGAAGAGAGAGGACTCTTTCCAGCAGAAGGGAACCCAACCCTCCCTATCTCTGCCCTTCACCCCACAGGGCTCTGACTCTCAGACTGGGGCAAGCAGTGGCCACCAGGAGTGTCCCCATGACTCAGGATGCAACAGAGGGGAGCAGGGTTCCCAGGGCCACCCAGCTCGGTAGCAGCGCAGCACTCTGGGATTCTGCGGCTCCTGAGTACAGGGGCTTGAATACTGAGGTGGCTGCTGGAAGGGGTCAGGCCTCAGGGACCTCCCAGGGCTGAGGCAGCCTACCCTCTTGCCCAGGCCAGGCTGGTCAGCTCCTGGAGGAGGTGGGCTGGTAGCAGTACCAGGAGGCTTCAGGAGCAGTGGTAGGTGCCTCTCCTACTCTGAGCCTCAGTTTCTGCCTCTGTCAAATGGGAATCATCCCAATTCCTGTCTCAAAGTGAGGACGCGGTGAGGCTGAAGACCTCCAGGTCTTGTTTTCTGCAGGCCCCACCTAGTCCAGAGGACAGGGCTGCATGAGACCCAGAAGAAGTGATCTGGATAAACACATTCCCGCTGCCTGTACTGTCCCCATCACTGCAGAACCAAGGCCCCCAGGGGCCCCGCTGACCCTCAGCCGGTCCCGTGATCTACATTGGGCCTGCACTGGCCCTGTCTCCCCCTAGCCCTGGACCAAGAGTCTGGCCAGTGCCTGGCCCAGGACCATGGGGGTATAAGGCTGACGTCTTCCACTTACTGGGCCACCTGAGCCATGCCACCTCTCGGGGCCTCATTTCCTCCACTGCACTGGGGCTGGCACCTGCACCGGGAACTGTGATGCGGTTCCTGGCAGGTGCTCCAATCACGGGTGCCCCAGTCCAGGCATTCTGACACAGCTCAGGAAGCTCTCAGCTGGGGGTCTCTGCCCGCACCCCGAGGACCCACCTGTGTGATGCATGCGCCTGTGAAGGCCACGATTACAGCCACCACGTTGACAGTCAGCTGGAACTGCAAGAACTTGGAGATGCTGTCATAGACGTTGCGACCCCACATCACCGCCTTGACGATGCTGCTGAAGTTGTCATCTGTCAGGATGATGTCTGAGGCCTCCTTGGCTACATCCGTGCCTGCGATGCCCTGTGGGGACAGGGACAGGAGCCTGGAGGGGTGGCCGGGGGAGGTGAGTGGCTCTATACTGCTGTCCCCATCCCTGGCACATCCTCAGCCCACCACAGCCCACTCCTGTTCCATTCCAGTGGGCCCAGCACAGCCAGACCACACACAGGGACACACACAGACCCCCCACCCCCGGAGGAGGCCTTGCCCTGGGCCCTCTCCTCCCTCACCCTCCTGGTCCCCAACCTGCAAGTGCCCCTCCTTGCCAAGCTCTCCCTGAGCAGAAGGACTCCTCCCTTCCAGGAAGACCTCTGGGGCCATGTGGAGGCTGGAGAGCATTGAATGCACACAGGGCCAAAGGGTCAGCTGAGTGTCAACTGGGGGTCCCACAAGCCACTTCAAGGCTATGTAGCCTATATGCTCCTGCCAGATTCCACCCCAGACCCCTGAGAGCCGCTCCTACCATGGCGAAGCCCACGTCAGCCTTCTTGAGTGCAGGCCCATCGTTGGTCCCATCCCCGGTCACAGCCACCACCTGCCGCTGCTCAGTGTGTGTGCTGTCGATGATGCCTGTTGGGGGCAGGAGTATGCTCAGGGCCTGGGCCAGCCCTGAGCCTTGGCCATGGCCATGGCCCCCTCTCTGGCCCCTGCTTAGCTAGCCCCTTCTGGCGTGGCTCTTCCCAGCACCTGCAGGGCATTCTGGGCACTTGGTTAGCCCAGGGCTGGCTGGAGGTCCTGTGTGGCCTGGGTCCTGCCCACTTTCCAGCACTGTCTTTGTTTCTTACAGAACTTGGCCACACTGGCAGCCACCTTAACCAGAAAAACTGTCCCCTTGGCCCCTCTGCTTATATTCAGGGGCCCCTCCACTGCTCCAAGGATATTCAAGGTTTCTCTGGGGTCCCGCCATTTGCCCTACCAGCACCTTCCCCTTACTACTCTGACCTTGGCCTCTCTCCAGACACTCATCCTCAATAAAAAATTCAACAAAAATGAGAATGAACAGAAGACACGTGGCCCCAGTCACCAGCTGGGTCAGTGGAAGAGGGTAGGTGAAAGGTGTCATCATCAGGGACCTTTGGAGTGTATGGGACTTGTTACTCATGAAGCTACCAGGCAGAGATGGCCATGGGCAGGACAGATATTTGGGTGTTGGCCTTGACTCTTATTCCACACAAGAGACGCATCACCAAGGCCTTAGATTTCTGGCTCCAAAATTTCACTGAAGTCCTTTGAGTTCTGTCCTGATCTCTGCAACTGGCATTTCCACTGCCCCCTCACTGACTTGGGGCACCCTGGAACTTGCTGCAAGACCTTGTTTGAACCTGTCCCTTGCCCCTCGGAAAAGCCGTTCACTTCTTCCCTCGGCCCCATGATAACATGCAGGAACCTCTGAACCCCATGACCAGGCCTCTCCACTCTGATCTCTTCTCTTGCCCCTGGCCATGTCCACCTCTTTGTCACATGCCTGGCTCCCACTGGCCTCTGTTCCTATATAGGTTGTTCCCTGGGTTGGATATACTCCTGTCACCCACCTATAGCTTCAGCTTGGATGCCACCATCCACAGGAAGTCTTTGTAGTGCCCTGAGGACCCCTGTCACCCCAAAGCATCCCCGTAGCTGCTGCCTCCCCTACCCCCTGAACTCCCTAACTTGGGGTACTGCCCCTCTAAACTGCTCCCCTCAAGACCTAGCTCCCATGCCGGGTGCCCTAGGAATCATCCTGAGTTGCCGCCACACAGCAGCCAGCCCCAAGGCCCTCTGCCCTGAACCTGGTCTCTCTAAGCTGGTCCACTAGCATGCACACACGAGGCCTCTGTTCTCCCTGGTTCCCTCAGCCTTAAGGGGGCTCCTCTGTGGCTAGACAAGGGGGGATTCTTTTCTCTGTGGCTCCCTGGGCTGGTAACGGGCTTTTCCTGTTCCCAACAGAGCAGAGATCTGGGACAAAACCCTCCTGGGGCTGTCTCTTCTCACTCTAGGCCCAGTGTGGCCCTGCCCTGCGTGGCCTTCAGGGGCTTCCCTGTGGCCACATCTGTGTCCTGACCCTCAAACTACATCTGCCCTCCTTTCCCATAAGCTTCCGTCCTGGCTTTCCTGTCACCCACATCACTCCTGCTCATTCTTGGCCACTGCCACCACTCAGGTGGGCATTCCTGGGTTCAGCAGCTCCCCAGCTCTTCCCTCTTGTACCCCCAGCCAGGCCTGTGTCCCAGGCCCCGCACTCTCCTGCCCTGAGGGCCAGCCACCTCTGGACAGCTCCGCTCGACAGTCAGAGGCCGCAGCGTGGCCAGTCCTACACTGAAAGCGTCAGTTTTCCTCAGATCTGTCTTGTCTCCTGTGACTCCTGGTGCCCAGCTGCCCACTTGAAAGGCACTGGGCCTGCAGTGGGCCCTCAAACAGGCAGACAGCAGAGGTCCTGGGCCCCTGCCCCTTAACCCCCTTACCATGTCCAAACACCCTGCTCAGACTTCCACCTGGAAGTGTTTCTCAGACCTGCTGATGGCTGGCCGCCCTGCCTGCCACCATCTGGTCCTTGTGGCACGTTAGGCAATCCTGGTGGTCCCTCTTGCCTGCGGGTCACTCTCCCAAAGCAGGCTGGGCTTTATGAAACGGTGGTCTTTTCCACCTGGCCCTCCCACTTCCTGAACTTGGGGTAACAGTGCAGGTCACAGCCACCTACGTGGCGAATGCTGTGGTCTACAGGATGCGACGCCACAAGCCGCCTCCAGTCTCCTCCTCAGCTTTCCCTCTTTCAGGACTCCCATCCAGGCAACTGAATTTACGTTCATTCCTTGATGTGCTGGGGAAAACTTTTTTCTCTGGACAGTTCCAGTGCGATTCTCTGCCCTGTCTGAAAACCAGACCCTTCCTCCTGGAAACACCCCCCCCCCCCCCCCACCACCCCTTGCCTACCATGGCCTGTGACCTAATACCCTACCCAGCCAGAGTCAGAGGGCAGCAGCGGGCCCCAGAACAGCCTTCTCTGCCACCCATGCAGCCTTTTACCCTCTGCAGGGACAATGCCTATTTAGTGTCCACTGCCTGGGACCTGCACCACGAATTCCAGAGGGAAGGACCACATCCACCTAGATCGGGGCCTGGATATAATAGGTCCTCAATAAATGGTCATTGAAAGAATGAATAAATGAATTGATGAGCAAATGAGTGAATTAATAAGAAATGAGCATGGGTTGGAGAACTTTTGCTTCAAGTATCTGTGCTTCAGGGGTTCCGTTTCTGTCCCCAGGCTAGATCTGCCTCCATTAATGTCCCTGGGTGACATGTTTGAGACAAGAATCCTAGACACCTACGGATGATCTCAGGCAGAAGCCTGGATCCCACAGCCAATTTACAGATGGGTAAATTGAGTCCCAGAGTGGAGAGTCTTGTCCACGGCCACAGAGCAGGTCAGCAGCAGACCCGGGACATGAACCAGAAACACCTAGAACCTGGCCCCCAGAGCTTAGCACGTGTTGTGCTCTCTCTGGGGGGAAATGGGGAGAGAGAAGGACTGTGGCATTGGGCCTCACTGCTCAAATCGCTGTGCCCAGGACAGCCCATGCCTGAGTCTCAAGATGCCAAGCACACCAAGGCTCTCGAACTCCTGAGCTCTGGGGCCAGACTGAGAGCAAGTGAAGAGGGTTGACTTTCAGATAACGAGCAGTAGTAGTCTGTCAACCACAAAGAGCAAGATCTGTATAAAGTCACTCAAACTCGACATTTAAAATGCCCCACTGGCCAAATAAAACATATCTGTGGTCCCCATATGGTAACTGAGCCATGAGTTTGAGACCCTAGATGGGCCCGATCCTAACGCTTCTTGGAGGAATTGGAGGCCCAGAAAAGAAGGCTCACAACCTCCTTTGGGCCCTCAGCAGGCATCCCGGGGGTGAAAAGCATCCTTTTCATAAGGACATCACCAGGTGTGTAGATGCCCAGAGAGGGTCCCTTCCCTGCGTCCAGTTGTATGGAAACACCACGTGCCAGGAAAGGAGCATTGGTCTCTGGCCTCAGAATTTCCCAAGACCTCCCACGTCTCACCTTTGACTAGGGTGTGCTTGTCTGTCGGGGAGGAGCGAGCCAGCACCCGCAGTTTTGGCCAGATCTTGTCAATTCGCTCCTGCTCAATCTGCAGAGGGATGAGGGAGAGGGTCAGCAGGATCAGGGAGAGAAACTGAGGATCGAGGAAGAGCCCAGAGTACACTGGCTGGTCTCTGCACAATCATGCATCACAGCGCCAGTGCCTCCCAGCTCCCTGCCCCGTCAAATCTAGTCCCTCTGAGGACATTTACCCTGGGACACGTACCTCTCCCTTCTCATTGCGGATCCTCCGGTTGAACTCTTTGCCCTCCAGACACAGGAAGTCTTCCCCAGGATGGATGATACCACACTTGATGGCGATGGCCCGGGCCGTATTGATATTGTCACCAGTGACCATCCGGACAGTGATACCTGCTCGCTGGCACTTGCGGATGGCTTCTGGGACCTAGACAGGAGGGTAGGATCCATGGGGGAGGGCATCACCCCTGGCAGGCCCTCGCTGCCTTCATGGGTCCCAGAGTGAGCCCTTCTCATAAGCAGCTCCACTTAAAGGGGAGTAAAAACTCCATGAGATACTGATGGCACAGATAGAATACAGTCCATGGCTTCTCTTCCTGTGCCCATGGCAGACATTGTTAATCAATCACAGTATCCTGGATTGAACCTGATGTGGGTTCAGAATTCTTCTCAGCCAGAATCCCAGGCAGCCAGCACCTAGTGACCATGATAGTTTGTCCTGAGACCAAACCACTGGATCCCCCAAACTGCACAAATGCTTTGGAAAGACCCTAATGAACACCTTCTCAGATCAGGCCCAGGCCAGAGTACAGAGCACCTAGTTACACTTGAACTTGCCCAGCTTCATCTACAAGCTCCATGATAAGTCTGTTTGTGTATTTTCAGTTTTTTTTTTTTTTTTGAGGGGGAGATGTTTGCATTTGGAGGCATTTTATTTACAGAATGTGACATTGGATTAGAATAAATCCGAATGACTATGCTGTCACTTAAAATAGGACATTTTGCTGAGAGTAAGGATTGCATCCTGCCTTCTCTGACTATAATGACAGACTGATGTCTGGGCCGATTGGGTCAGATCAGACCCAGCCCAGCCAATCAGAAGGCGGAAAGGCCCGTCACCCGCTAGGCCCCAGTAGCTTCCCCAAGCAGAGCTCTGGATTTACCCAGCAACCAGGATGTGGAAATTAGCCTGGAGCTGTGGCAGCCCTTTATACAGAACACAGATCAACTGAATGAGTGATTCTTACCCATAGGCAATAACAAATAATAAAATAATAAGACTATATTTGCTGCAGAATGTCTTTGAGGGGAAGAGAACACATCAAGGGCAGAAAATCCAGTTGTCCAGAAATACTAAAGCACTAAAGCACATTGGAATTCTGGACCCAAGAGCTGAGTCGTGCACACCCTAGTGACTGAGGCCTCACTCCCATGCATCCTCTGCCAAGCCACTGCTGAGCTTGGAAATGCATTTTTACCAAAAGAGACACCAAAGTCCTAAGCCCCCCATAGCTGTGAAAATGGCCTTACTTGAAGAAAGGGTCTTTATGAAGGTAATTACACTAAGATGAGGTTCTCAGGAAAAGTCCTCATCCAGTATAACCGGGTCCTTAGGCAGAGAGGAAATTTGGATGCAAAAACATGCACAAAAGGAGATGATGTCAGGGGAGGGATAAGGCATGTCAAAGAACAACAGAGAGGGTCAGCAAACCTCTAGAAACTAGGAGAGTGGTCTAGAGCAGGCCCTGCCCACTCCTGGATCTTGGACTTCAGCTTCCACAACTGTGAGACAAATTTCCACTGTTTGAGCTGCTCAGTTTGTGGTTTACCTGCTGCTCAACAGAGTTCAGCCCTGATAAACCCACCGTTAAGATGAAAATACCAAAAGTCAAATATGCACCAAATAGACCTAACCTACCGAACAGCCAAGATGAACATCAGTTACCCAGGGGTTGCTCCCCCTCGTGATCGTGGGCTGACAGGCAGCCGCGGCTCACTGCCCTGCCCAGCATCAAGAGGATTTTCTGCCCCATTTTGCTAGTCTGGAAAAAGATCCAGATTTGAAATTCCAAGTACACTTTCCATGGAATGCGTATTGCTTCCACACCTTTGTGAAGTCAAAAAAATTCAAAATCTAATTATCGTCAGGTTGGGGGCTATCTGTACTTGGCCATGGCAGCCCTGGAAAACTGATGAATAAAACACTTAGCATCTACTATAGTTCAAATCTTGAATGTCAAAGGCCTGTGTGTTCAAGGCTTGGTCCCTAGACTATGGTGCTATCGGGAGGTGGTGGAACCTCTAAGGGGTGGGAGGTCTTAGGTCACTAGCGGTGTGCCCTGGAAGGGGACAATGGAATCTAGGTCTCTTCTTCTTCTTTCTCTTTTGCTTCCAAGCTGTGATGTGAACTGCTTTGCTCTGCCATGTATTCCCACCATAATGTGTTGCCTCGACATGGGCCAAAAAATAATGGGGCCCAAACAACCATGGGCTGAAACCTCCAAAACTGTGAACTCAAACAAACCTTTCTTCTTTACAAGTTGATTCATCTCAAGCATTTTGTCATAGTAACAGAAATCTGACTAATACAGAATCCTTTCCCATCTCCCTGACTCTGCCCATTCTGTTCCTTCTGCCCTCCCTCAACCTCTGTGTGTCATATCTTACCCATCTTACATGTAAAATGCTTTCAGCTCATGAAGCCATTCTGAATTCTTCCAATCCAGTGGGATATTTCCTTAAACTATTCTCAGTAGTTTCTTCTATCACTCAGACATTTGTTCATTCAATGAACTGTTATTGAACATCCTGTTCAAGGCACTAAAGATGCAGAGATGATTAAGACTGAAACCCCAGAGGCATTGATCTGGTTGAAATATGCTTTCCATATAAATAAAATTGCTGTTAATTTTTTTTTTTAAAAAAGGCTTCTTTTGCTAAAATTATCCTAGATATTTCTCACTGAGGAAAAACAGCCAGGAAATGGGCGCTTCCTGTTTTCATTAAATAAAGGCTTTTAAACATCTGTTGTTTCTGGTGACAGCTGTTGTCTGTGACTCTAAGGGCTCCAAACACCCCCGGATAACCCGGCAAGTCCCAGACCGCCAATCTCCTGATGGCTTCATTGATGCTGGCTTCCATCAGCCTCAGCAACGTCTCAGGGAGGGAGTTTTGGCAAATATATTTTTAACTGATTCTTGCCTTTGGTGGTCTCCAGGGAGGAAGGCAATGTGGAGATTCACCCCACTGACAGCTGGGGAAACCAAGGTGGGCATAAATTATCTTCCTGCTATTGCAAAATGAATCCTAGCATGTCTAAGGACCCTAGAGGTGGCCCAGGTAGAGGCCATCCTCCTTTCTGGGCCTCGGCAGGCTGGAGGCACTATGCAGGGTATTTGCCCAGGAGACTCAAGGCAGGGTGACCAGGAAGGCTGTAGGAGAACAGAGCCCAGCAGAGTTTGCAGAAATGCACCCACCATAGGCATGGATACTCCCAGAGGGTCACTCACAAAACTGGTGACAGTGCTGCTGTGGAGGTGGGAACTGGGGACTAGAATGGTGGTAGGGTTATTTCACACTTCTGTACTTTCTGAATTTGGTTCCATGCACACAAATCACCTATCTTAAAAAGCAAATCAGTAAGACAACTGTATCCACTGGGCTCCTCAGGGCGTGCACCCATCCCACGCCCCCCAGGGGGAGACGCAAATCAACAGGTCTGAGCTTTTATGCTTTCCAGTAGTGTCCCCAGCAGCCCTGCCGTGTCCCTGAGTCGCGAACATCAGACCGTCCAAGTGTCTTGTTTTTCAGATGGGGAAACCGAGGCTAAAAGGGGATGCACCTGAGGCCACCAAGAAGGAGTGGCAGGGGCAGAATCAGAGCCCACATCCTCTGACTCTGCCAGGCCACTGCTGTTAAATTCAGCTTACGTCTTGAGGGCAAGCCTGGGGGGCGGGAGAGGGCCAAGATGGATTCCCTGATGGAAGGAAGGATGAGCAGATGAGAAGGCAGAGGCACAGAGAGGGCCCCAGTGGCTTGTTGGTGGCAAAGTTGGGGCTGGCATCCAGGTCCTTTCCGAGTCTGCGTCTGAAGCCACTTACTCTGGATGACCCTGCCGTCAACAGCAAATGCCAGGGACCCAGCTTTGCTCCTCTCAGGTCCTGGGTGTGGGGAGTCTTTCCTCAACCTCCTGACACAGAATGACTTTCCCCTTCTGTTTTGTGGCATCTAGGCAAAGGCCCTGGGGCAGAAAGGCAGAAACCTGGCCTAATCTGGACTTGCTCAGCCTCTTACAGGGAGTCTTTGGGGACATCCCCGTCCCTCTGTGGGCCTCAGTGTTTCCATATGCAAACTGGGATGTGTAGGAAGCTGTCTGGGTGAGATGAGGGATCAGACCTCTAGCCACGCCTCTTGAGACAGTGGATGTTGATCAGCTTTAACAAAAAGAAGGAAGGACAGAAAATTCTGCACTACATGGCATTACTTTGTGAAATTCTTGGGTTGGTTAAGCGTGTGTGCTGACTTGAGTCATGACATAAAATACATTTCTTCTTATTGTGGGTCAGGGCCAAAAAAATGTTTGCACCAGATTCTCTTTCCCAGCCCACCTCAGAGGTGTTTCCGAGGCGTGGTGATGAGCCGGAAGCTCACGGAGGGGTTGAGGAGGCTCCAGAAAGCAAGGACAAGGGAGTCCCCAGGGCGTGGTTAGGCCAGCCTCCTACCGCAGGGGACGAGGCACTGCTGCTGGTTCTGAGAAATTTCCAGTAAGGAGGTAACACATCGCCGTGAGGCCTGAGCCCATTAGCGGTTGGTAATGAGCAGGCGTCCCCTGGGGGAGCCGATAAATGGCCTGTGGGCCCAGGGAGGGCCGCGGTCTACAGAAAAACACACGCGGGCTCTGGGGCCAAGCGCCAAGCTCCAGGGTGCTGACTGTCTTTGCTGTTTTAGGATCAGGGTAGGATGAGGGGGCCACAGTGAGACCCACTTGTGTGTGTGTGTGAGGGGGGGGGGGGGGGAGAGAGAGAGAGAGAGAGAGAGAGAGAGAGAGAGAGAGAGAGAGAGACACTTGAGCACCAGACACGGTGTTGGAAGACTGGGGTTCAAGTCCATTCATTCTCATTCATTCTACAAATCTTTATCGAGCACCTCCTAAAGGCTCAGCTGTGTGTTAGGGGACACAATGTGTCATTGGATCCAGAGTAATGAATCTATGGGGAAGGTGGGAAGAAAGGGGACCTTCATTTTGGGGCCATCTACCTCATGCCAGACACTCTGCTTTTGTTCATTCAAAATGGTACGATCAGACCCTTCACAATATCCCAGGGTGTGTGTGTGTGTGTGTGTGTACATGGGGGAGGATATTATTATCCGAAGTCTACAGATTAAGAATCAGAGAGCTTATGTGACTGGCCCAATGCCTCACAGCCAGCAATTCTGGCACTCAGGATCCTGGTCCGTCCCATGCCAGAGTTCATTCACTCTTTGATTCCTCTCCCTGATGCCTGAGTGGAATGTAGAATCTTACGGCATCAGGCCCAAGAACTTGGAGGAAAAAAATTCTACCCTGTTTCCCTTTAAAGAGGGGAAACTGAGGCTCTGATAGAACAGGGACTGGCCAGAACATGGTGTCAGGGCAGGAGGGGACACTGAGGCTGTCCCTGCTGGCACACTCCACACTGGGCAGTTCATCCTCCTCCCTTCCTCCCGCCACACTCCAGCTCAGGATTCTTGTCCTTCTCCCTGCAGGATGCAGATTCAGCGAAAGGAGACTGAAGACCTACTGTGTGCTGAGTACCTGTTAGGGGCTCTCCCACAATCACCTCCTCCATCCATGTGAGGAAGGTGCTGTCGCCTCCGCCCACCTGCTGGAGAGTGTGACCTGACATTGAGAAACTGATGTGACTCAATTTTTGAGAAACCAGCCTCGACCTCAGAGCAAAGCCTGTCCAGGGAAGGGGGTGTGGCCCTTGTCCTTGGAAAAACCCACGGAGCAGTCCTAGGCACACACCCACCCTGCTGAGTTGTTTGTCTGCAAATAACAGGAGAGATCTGCGGCGCCAGGTGTCCCTGACTCAGTCAGGCTAGGTGGGGATCCATAGCAACCCCCTAGCAACCACCAATCAGCATGAGACAGGGAAAATACCTGGGATGCCAGATGACCCCCCCAGTAGTTTACGGTGGTTGATAACATGTTGGGAAACCATGTAGTTCAGCACGTACACCCCTCGTGGCTTAAACCAATCAGTTCAAAGGAATCCCCCTCTTGTACTAACCAATCACCCCTACCCAACTTGTTCCCGCCAGTGAATGTGCTAATCAATGTTAAGAGTTGTTGTTTGACTTTCCTGCGGTATGGAATGATTTGCTGTGTGATGTTGTGACACGTAGAGTATCCCCCCAAACCTATAAAATCTCACTGAACAAAGGACCGGGGCTCACTCCCTGGGACCGCTGTGAGTCCAGGCTCGAGCTTGCAATAAAGACTCTTGTGTGATTGCATCGGATTTGGCTCCTGGAGGTCCCACGAATTACATGACACCATAACTTGTGCAAGCTCTGTTCCTCTGAATGTCAGAGGTGTTACCAGGCAAGCTGGCCAGGGGATGGTGGTTGCTAAACTGCACCTGGACAGAGAGAAGTGTAAGTACTGATGGGGACACCGCACTTGGTGTTCTCCTGAGAGCAATGACCCTTGTCATTGGGTGTGTCCTTTGCCCAGGCCTGGAACCTGGGCCAAGGGGCTTGTTACCAGAGCTCCTGGTTCCTGTGAGGTAAAAGCTTCTAAGGCAGGGAACTCCCCACACCTGTCCCTGGGGAGGGGGGCAGAGGGAAGAGCACCTGGCGGCGGGGAGGACAGGCCCCGCAGCAGAGCACCAGGGCCTTACCTCAGGCCGAACGGGGTCCTCGATGCCCACCACACAGATGCAGGTGAGGTCATTGAGGATGTCATTCTCGTTGTCCCAGTCGGGCTCGGGGCTGCTGGGGAAGTCACGGTAGGCCACACAGATGGTGCGGAGCCCGTCGCAGGCCATGGGCTCGATCACCTTCTTCACCATCTCGTCCCTGTCTCGGGGCCGGAAGACCCGGGGCTCACCTGCCCCACTGAGGATTTTGCAGCACCTGGGGGAGGGTGAAAGGCAGGTGAATAAGGCCCAGCCAAGGGCCTAAGGGGTATTCCCCTGCCCACTGGGGACGTCCAATTGGCCACAGAGTTCAGGCCAGGCCCACCCGGTCCATCTCCCATAATGCCTCAGGACTAAGTGCACCCACAAGCGCCCAGGTCTGAGGTAGGGTAAAATCAGGTGACCTTAAAATATCTGCCCAAGGCCATTCAGGAAGAGCAATCCTGCTTTGGTCATCTATATGTGTTATCCCCAAGGTTTCATTTGAAAAATTAAAAAAATGGTTTCCAAAGGCCATCAAACCTTGGCTAGTAGTTTTTGGCCCCACTTATATACTAGGATCAACTGGGGGAGCATTTAATAAATACCCACGTGTGCACCCTGCCCTCGGGTCTCCAATTCAAGTTATCTGGGGTAAGTCCAATGATCAATGGATTTTAAAAAAATCTCCCTGGGGTGATTTGCATGGCGCTGCTGGCGCTGAGAACCATCGGGCAAGATCAATCCCTTCAACGCACGAGCCAGGAAACTGAGGGCCACAGAGGGCAGTGACCTGCTTAGCTCCCCAGGCTTATTTCTGGCACACACTGAGTCAGAGGAACTTGCCTGATGAAAACCAAATAACTGCCACCAACCAGCCCTATGAGAAGGGAAGCAAAATCTAAGTGTGACTGCGGGCAGAACGTCCTGAGGATCCAGTCTCTCAGAAGGCAGGGAAGACTCTTATCCGTAGAAATTTTTAAGAGGATATAGTGAAAAAATCGGTGGGTAGGGGGTGAGTCTTGCTGTGTGACCTGGTGCTAGATGGACTCTCCAGTCCAGGGGTGCTGCTAGGTCCAGCATGGACGGTGATGGCATTGCATGGCCCAGAGGCCCTTCCAACAGCTCGGCCCTCAGCCGGCGCCCTGCTGGCCACTTACTTTTTGAGCACGATCTCAGAAGCACCCTTGCTGTACATGCGGAAGCTCTCGTCGGGCATCTTGATGACGGTGCTCATGGACTTGCGCACAGAATTGAAGGTGTACACCTTATACAGCTTCTCCTCCGGCATCTGGCTGCGCACAGGCTCGTAGTCCTGCTTCAGATCCAGCACAAAGCCCAGCAGGCCGCATTCTGTTTTGTTGCCCACCTGCCGAGGCAGGGCACCCTCCTTCTCTGGGGGCTGTGGAGAGAGGCAGGTGCGGCTCACACAGGGCAGGGCATGCCCCCAAGGAGCCCCTGCCCTGGCTGCCACAGAATGGCTCTTGGGGAAGGGGCTGAGCCCTGGGTCCACCCTTGGCACCTGGCCTGGGACGTAAGCCACTGCATCCCAGGTCCTGACTCCAGATGCAAATCATGAAGCAAGACAGCTTTTAATAATTATAAATTATTTCAAACAACTATGAATTATTTCAAGCAAAAAAGAAGATAATGATGGAAACAATTAGTACCTACCACCCTGCTTTGTAGAATCTTGACATTATGCCATGTTTGCTTCAGAATTTTCTTTTTTTTAAATATTTATTTTTTAGTTGTAGTTGGACACAATACCTTTATTTTATTTATTTATTTTTATGTGGTGCTGAGGATCGAACCCAGGGTCTCGCACGTGCTAGGTGTGTGCCCTACTGCTGAGCCACAACCCCAGCCCCAGAATTTTCTTTCTTAAGAAGCAAAACACGTCAAAGAAAAGTTGAATCCCCTCTGTGTATCTCTTCTCATCTGTGTACTTCACCCTTTACCCAGAATAAACCTTTATGTTAAATTTGGCTTTAGTTTTTGCCAGGTATGTGTTATTCTTAGATAACTGCAGATTCACATGCAGTAATGAATAATACAGAGAGCTCTCATATATCCCCTTTGTCCAATTTCCCCCAAAGTTAACTTCTTGCTTCATCAAAGTATAGTGTCACAAACACCATCAAACTGGCCTTATTCAGATCTCATCAGCTTCACTTCCACTGTGTGTGCACATGTGTGTGCACGTGTGCATTTAGTTCCTCAAAATGGCATCATGCCTGAATTCCCATGATTACCACCAGTGTCAAGATATAGGACAGTTCCCCCCAAGGGGCCCCATGCTACTCCCTGGTGGCCACAGTCAAATCCTCCCTAGCCCTGGTAATCAATAATCTATCTCTACTCTTTCGTTATCCCCTCCCCTTATTGTGGTGCTAGGAAGTGAACTTGGGGTCCCATGCATGCTAAGCAGGTGCGCTACCACTGAGTTACTCCGCCAGCCTGCTTCTGTCATTGGAGGCATTGATACAGGGAGTCGCACAGTAGGTTAATTTGGGAGATTGGCTGTGTCCACTCAGCATAATCTCCTTGAGATCCAGGCAAGCTGTTCCATGTGGCCATGATTTATTCTCTTCATCAGCTAAGTAGTGTCCCACCGTGTGGATGGATGGGCCATCTCTTGTGATTTCGACTCAGGTTGAGCCAAATGAAATGGCTAGTTCTGCATGTCAAAAATGGCCCAAAGGTGGCAATTTCATGAGGTCATTTAACCTAATGTCTATCCGGGTAGGACTCTTGCACGTTGAGCACTTCAGACCCGGGGACTGTACACATTCTTCTGTAACTTGCTCTACTCACTCCACATTCCATTCGTGAGATTCTATGTGTTTTGGTTCTAGTTTGTTCTTTTTAACCTGTTGCGGAGATTCTCAGTAAAACAAGGGCTGCCTCTCTCCCCAGCACCCTCACCCTCACCTGATTTCGGCCTCCGCTATTTCGGCCTCCACTGCTATTCTGGGTGGGTCCTTCTCCCTTTCCTGCTGGGCACAATCCTCCTCATGTTTTAAGGACCAACTCAAACATCTTGTATTTGAAGATTGCCTCTGGGGGTCTATCTCTTGTGTTCTATTCCTCTCTGGGTTCTCAGGGGCACTGCGGAGCCCAGCACACAGTAGGTGCTTACCAACTGCTTGAATGGCTCAAGGCAGCCCAGTCTTCTGGGCAAGATGCACGTTTGCAGGTCAAGGCAAGATGCTCCACAGGGGCACTAAGGGGGCACTAGCCCCTCGCGGTGGGAAGGGAAGATCTGCAGGTATGATCCACTCCCTTGGGTGCCCCCACACATGTGCACACCCACACAAAGCACTTGACATTAATATGCAGTCACTCAGGTGGAGGTGGCTTGGGGAGCAGGAAAAGCCACCAGAGGTAAAATCAAAACCAGAGAGCTATCAAAGAGGGACAAATAGCAAGAAACATGCCTGTCCTCCTCTGTCCCAGTAGTGACATTTCACGGGTCTCAGATCAGCCTTGCACCCTGGTCCTCAGCTTCCTTGAGATTGCTCAAAAGAGCAGGGTGGGCAGGAAGAACAGGGATTCAAGAAGATGCTAGCTTTGTAGGGACCCTCCATCGTCAGTTATGTCCTGGGCCTGTTCTCCCCTTCTGCAGTTAAGGTTCAGGCCCAGGAGGCAGGTCCCAGTCACGTGGAGACACAATTATTGACACACACAGTGGTCCTGAGACCCATGAAGGAAAGAGACTTAGAACATAAACATGTCCTCAGTTTCTCCATCTGTGAAATGGAACGGGTAGGAGCAGATGGTTTCCGAGAGAGAAATCAAAGCTTTCCTTAAAGTAGACTTTGGTGAGGGATGGTGGAGGGGAGAAGGTCCGTCAGCAGGTGATCTGGGGACCAGGGAAGGGGACAAGGCTCAGAACATCTTCCCAGGTCCCATGACCACATTAACCTACGTCTCAGCATCAAGCACCTTGAAGAGTTGCCCTCTCCACGCTCCATGATGAGATTTCACTTGGAAGCAGAGAAATCTTTGATACGACTTCCCATTTCTGGCATTAGGAAAATAAATTCTAAGAGCTTCTTTTTGTTTCCACAATATGTTGTTAGGCTCTAGTGTAATATATATAAAATACAATTTTATAATTAACTTTCTGGTGATTTCCAGAGTTTTATGTATGTTCCACAACCGTTTTTTTTTTCCCCTCTCCACTAATGAAAGAAAACTCCAAGGACTTAAATAAAAATGCCTAATTACTTATTTGCCCAAGAGAGCTGAGCAGTCATGCCTGCAAAACACCCAACATTTTATTACCCTCTGTGAAATATTTTAATTTTCCTCTAAAAGGATTTCAAACAATCCATGGTTGCAAATAGCAAGCGCTGCCTCCTCCGTAATTCAATTTGTTTCCATGAACTTGAGCTCTGAAATCGCCTACACGCGTTACTAAGAAGCAGGCACCCTCCCCTTTTCTCTTTCTGCATTTTTTATCCTGACAAGCTCAGAGGTTTCGCTCTTGCTGTAAAAATTCCAAGAGCCTTATTAGCTCCAGGACTCCAACTCTGCAAAGGAGTTAAGGCGTTGGTAGTGTTCCTGTTTCTAGGGACAGGAAATAGCCCAGGAGGGAAGTGACCTGCCCTAGGCCACAGTCTCACTGAGGGCTGGGGTCCCAGGGCTGTCACTTCAAAGCTTTATCTGGTACATTTCCCTGCTCGGCTGTTGAGCCCTTTGGGAGTGCGAGGTGCAGCCATGGGCGTAACTTGGGACAAGTCATACTTCTGATTTGGAATGCTGGATGTTTGGGGAGTGAAACAGATAAAAATCAATGAATGATGATGAATTATAAATAACAAACTATAAATATACATGATCCAAATTGTAAATAATATCTGCAAAAAAATGAGATTATAAAAAACCCAGAGCATGTATCACCTCGTATCCATTAGGATAACTATTATTAAAAACACCACCAACAGGGGCTGGGGATGTGGTTCAAGTGGTAGCGTGCTCGCCTGGCATGCGTGAGGCCCTGGGTTCGATTCTCAGCACCACATAGGAATAAAATAAAGATATTGTGTCCACCTAAAACTAAAAAATTAAAAAAAAAAAACCACCATCGACAAAAAAAATTCCCAGGAAATAACAAGTGTTGGCAAGAATGAGATGGAACTGGAACTCTTGTGCATGGCTGGTAGGAATGTAAAGTAGTGCAGATGCTGTGGAAAACAGTATGGAAATTCCTTGAAAAGTTAATTTGCAAGTCCAAATCCTAGGTACACACCCAAAATAACTGAAAATAGAGACTTAAAGAGATATTCGCATACCCATGTTCACAGTGCTGGTATTATTCACAATAGCTAAGAGGTAGAAGCTATGTGTATGTCCATTGATGGATGAAAAGTAAATAAGATGTGGCCTATCCGTGCTATGGAGAATCATTCAGTCTTAATAAGGAAGGAGATTCTGACACATGGTACCATACGGATGGACCTTGAGGACATGATGCTAAGGGGAAAAATACCAGTTACCGAAGGACAAATACTGTATGGATCAACTTATATGAGGGACTAAGAGGGGCTGAATTCATAGACAGAAAGCAGAGTGCTTCCCAGGCACTGAGGGGAGCAGGGATTGGGAAGGAAGAATTTAATGTGGTACAGAGTTTCAGTTTTGCAGGATGAGAATTCTCTGGATGGGTGGTGGTGATGTTTGTGCCACAGTGTCAAGGTACTGAATGCTACTAAAATATACATTTAAAAATGGTCAATTTTATGGTATGTGTATTTGACCACTATTAAGAAGGAAAAAAAAATCAAAAGAAATTCCATGATAATTGCTACAGTTTGAATCTTACATGTCCCCTAAGGGCCCATAGGAAAAAGGCCTGGTCCCCAGCTTGGTGCTATTGGAATGTGGTGGGGATTTTAAGAACTGGGGCCTAGTGGGGCGAGCTCTTGAGTATTGGGACCTCAGTCTCTTCTTCTTTCTCTCTCACTTCCTGGTTGTGAGCCTGCATCTTGCTCCCCCAGGTCTCCCTCCATGATGGGCTTCCACAAGCCCAAAGCAATGGGGTTCATGAATCATAATCTGGAGGCTCCAAAACTGTGAGCCAAACCCCACTCCTTTTTTTTTTTTTAAAAAATAAGCCAACTTACCTCAGATATTTGTTACAGTGACAGAAAGCTGACAAACACAGTAGGGAACCCCATGGCATGATAAGCTGCGATGTGAGGATGGACCTTGGAAGTGAAGCCTCTCTCGATGCCAGACTAACCACCAGCCCCACCTCAAGGGTGGCCATGACCACCTCTCCGAATGCCTGCTCTGTGCTCACCGCTTCCCTGAGCTCTTCACGTGCGTCCCCTCATTGCACCTCCACAGCTCATTCCACAGTTATGCACATTGAGCAGGACGAGGTTCCGCTGG